GTGTGGTGTGTGTGTGTGGTGTGTATGTGGGGGTGTACGTGTGGTGTGTGTGTATGTGGTGTGTGTGTGTGTGGTTTGTGTGTGTGTGTGTACACTGTTCCTGCTGCGGAGCGGTCATGGGATTGGTTTGACCTTGAGAGGAGAGGGCTTTGACATTGACCAGCATCCCCACCTTCCCCATGCCACCTGGTTACAGAACACTCTGGACAGAGTAGCTTCCTGAAATTGGGATTTACGTCAAACTTGTATATAAAAGCATCTAGAAATGTTACTTTCATAGTCAGAGACAAACAGATTTTAAAAAGAAACATCTCTGGAACACATTGTGTCATGTCCATCACTGGAGGTTTTGGGGGAAATCCTCTAGGAGGGCCCCTTGGACAATTGCCCCCACCTCCATCCCTGCCACCTGTGAAACTCTCCATTTTCTTGTTTTTGTAACAAAGCGGGCACTGATTATGCACAACGCTTTAATATTTGGGACTTACGAGTCTCAAAACATGTAAAAAGCTTGTTTTAAAAGATTTAAAGTGTAAAAACTTACCAAATCAAATTCTAAGTGAATTTACACACGTAGTAATGTGTATATTGTTCCTTAACCTGACAGGGCCAGTGCCTGGCTCTTTTCAGTGGTGCCTGCATTCCCTTGTTCTCCGTGTTTAGATATTCTACAGCATTTGTGCATTTTGCTACTCATTAGTTTCTGAAGACCCTTCAAATCTGGAGTTCATCAGGTCTGCTGATTTCATGGTTCTTAGCAGAACAGTTTGTTTTTCTCATACTTCCATGTCTTGAGGTCCCTGGGGGGACAGTCTCAGCAGCCTCCCCCTCTGTAGTTTTGTCCCCAGAGGAGAAGGACACAATCTAGTTTGTCACTTCTCCAGGCCTGGCCAGGTGGCAGTGAAAGCTTGGAGTCGAATGGGCCAGGCCATGTTTGCTGAGAGCTGAACGGTGCACAGTCTGTGGACCTCGGCTGATTCCAGCCGGCGACAGGAAGTCCCACTTCATGACCTACTTTAAAGCGCTTTGCCAGGAATGGAGAGTGAACTTTTCATTTGTGTTGGTTAAGCTCCTAGGACCAGTATGTGTTTGGGGAATTGAAGGGAGTGTGGCAGGTACAAGGAAGCTGCCCTTTGCCCACTGGATTCCCAACAGTCTGTCTCCACGCTTACAAGATGCAGCAGTAACTCAGAGCGAGAATCTCAGGAGAACAGGTCACACTGATGAGAGATACAGACCCACGGAACATCAAGCACACTTGTATCAATATGAACACACAGAACCCTATGTCGAGGGGCATTTTTGTAGCCCAGAGGTCTGGACTCAATCCTAGCTCTGCCTCTTTGAAGTATGTTTTCGAAATGTTACCCAACAGTTCTTTGAATTGCTTTCTTTTATAAAATGGGGAATATCAGGTTTACTTACCTCCATGGGGTGGTTATGAGGATCAGATGAAGGAATGTGTATGAACTGATGAGTTAATGGTTGCTAATGATGATATACGTCCTATGGAATATTATTTCTTGAATCTTACATCTTTCTCATACATCCCGAGACCTGTAAGTCACAATTGGTTCTTTTTTTTCTTTATTTTTTTGTTGAAGTGTAGTTGATTTACAATGTTAGTTTTAGGTGTATAGTAAAGCAATTCAGTTATACATACATATATATTTTTTTCAGAGTCTTTTCCATTATGTTATTACAAGAAATTGAATATAGTTCCCTGTGCTATAGTCGGTCCTTGTTTTATCTGTATTATATATAGTAATGTACATCTATTAATCCCAAACTCCTAATTTATCCCTCTCCCCCACCTTTGGTAATCATAGTTTGTTTTCTATGTCCGTGACTTATTTTTTTTAACGGAGGTACTAGGGATTGAACCCAGGACCTCGTGCGTGCTTGGCATGCACTCTACCACTGAGCTATACCCACCCCCACAGCTGGTTCTTTTACTATTTGTGCACCAAGTGAAATTTGGTATTAGGTTCCTGAAAGTATGAATGGGTTCTTGGACTCACCGAGTTTTGTAAAAGATGGCTCAATCTCTCACCTGTCTATTTGCCCACAGTGTGCCGTGTAAAAAGTGCGTGGTGGTTGGTAATGGAGGAGTTTTGAAGAATAAGACATTAGGAGAAAAAATTGACTCCTATGATGTAATAATAAGGTAAATATATTTTCTGTTTGCTAAGCTGGAATTGTTTGAAAAGAATATGGCTTCCTACTTTAGTACAGCTGTGTTTTAAAAGGAAGAGGTATTGCCTTTCTACATGTGAGTACATCTCAAGTTACTCAAGCTGTTGTCTGGAGTAGGGTTTAGGTCATTCATTTAGCAAATATTTATGAAGTCGCCTTGGTATTGCAGGTACAGTTCTAGCCAAGGGGGGGATACAGCAGTAAATAAGGACTATATTCCTGTGCCCTGTGGGGCTTCATTCTAATGAGGGGAAGAAAGCGGTAGTTAAATAAGGGAATATAATCCCAGATGTCATACGAACAATTAGAACATGAAGGATAGAGAATGATCCAGTGGCTACTTTAGAAAGGATGGCCATGCTGAGGAGGAGACAGCTAAGCTAGACCCGAGTGAGCACACAGTACAGCCATACGGAGGCCAGGGAAGAGCAGCTCAGGCAGGAGGATGTGCACTGCAGGTCCTCAGGAGGGTATGATCCTGGGTTTGAGAGCAGCAGTGAGGTAGGAGGGCAGCAGGCAGAGAAGAGTGGTGTACTCAGAGCTGAAGACGTAGGGAAGGAGCGAGCTGTGCAGGACTTTGTAAACCAGAATTAGAGCTTGGATTTTAAGTATAACAGAAAACTTGAAGATTTTTCAGCAAGAGAGCATCTGTCTGGTTGTGTCTTTAACATATTCTGGCTGTGTCATGGACAGTGAAATATGAAGGACAAGGGTGGAAATGAAGAAGCCAGTTAGGTTGCTGCATTTGGGCCAGTGATGGTGGCTTGGCACAGGATTGTCATGGCAGAGGAGTTAAGTGGCTGGACGGAGGCATGTTTCAGAGGTGGAGTCACCAGGATTTGTTGATGTATTAGACGTGAGCAGAGATGGGATAAAGGAATCAAGGATACTCCTCCTAGGTTTTCTGCTTAAGACGTTGGCTGGGTCGTGGTACCATTCACTGAGTTGAGGAAGACGAGGGTAGGACAGGTTGAGAGGAGAATCAGGATTTCTGGATGAACATGCCAGGTTTGATATGTTTATTAGAGTTGCAGTGAATAAGTCAAGCAGGCAGTTAGATAAACTGGTTAAAATCTTCACGGTGAACAGCTAATAGGTTGTATTTAAACCGTGAACTGGGCGAGCTTTCCCCGGGAGAGGCAGAGAAAAGGGCCCAGGACCGAGCTTGGGAGTGCTCAAAACTTAGAAGGTTGAGCAAAGAAAAAAGAGTAAAAGAGTTGGAGGGGATTTACCAGTGAAGCAGGAAGAAAGACAGGAGAAGGTGATCACAAAAGACAAGACAGCACAGCGTTTTCATTAAGACAGAGGGAGGTTTCAGCCATGACACATGCTGGCGAGAGAAGGGGCCATGCGAGACAAGGACCGAGGGTTCACCTTTGCATTGGCAACCTGAAGCTCACTGAGACTCTTGACGAAAGAAGACCTGGAGGAACAATGTGGGAGAGCTCAACTGGAGTGGCTTGAGGAGAGCGTGACAGGTGGGAAAGTGGAGAAACCAGACGGTAGCTGGAGAGAACCATGGATGCAGGAATATTTTGTTTTGTTTCCTTGTATACAGATGGAAGATTCTAGAGCATATTAGTAAACTGATGAAAATGGATGAAGAGTTTGGTGTGGTACTGAGAGAGGCGGTGAGGGGAGGGGTCCAGAGCACAGGTGTGGTAGATCTCTGCAGTGGAAGGAGAACTGGGATTGTGGTTATAACTCCCAGGAGTCCCATAGACACAGTGGTGGGAAAATGAGAACATTTCTGTCTTCTCATTGAGAGGCTGAAGTAAGGTCCTGATGCAGGGTGAGTCTGCGTGCTGTGAATAGGCTTCTGAAGAGTGGGGAAGGTTCCCGGGGCAGTGCAGGAGGATGCCCTGGCAGTACTTGGCCGTTTTGCTGGGTTACAAGCTATCAAGGGTTTCATTTTATTTTCTGTTGAAAAAGGTTTCACTTTATTACCCATTTTGAGGAAGCTGTGAAAATTTACCTGCAAGACAGTGTCGATGCACTCATTAATTTCTAATTGTCTGAAATCTGATCACCTAGGACCACAGCAAGCCCTCATGGGAAAATGCCACAGGCATGACATTATGGAAGTCATTTCAAATGTTATTAAGACTGCCTTGTATTACATACAGTTAGTGGCAGAGGGTTAAAAGAGTATCTCCTAGGGGGCACTGTTTTGGAAACAAAGCATCCCTTTCCCTAGCGTGCCTTCCTAGTGTGTGCTTAAATAGGGCGTGTCTAACCCTGGCTTTCAGCATACACCACCTAACAGTGGATCCTTTGTGGTTCTTTGGTTCACTCAGCAGTTGTCATTCATTTGGTTGTGCTTGGGTATAAAATATAGCAATTTTATATTACTTTATTTCAGAGCACAACAACTTTGACGGGTCTTCAAATCACCTGAAATGTGACTCTTGCCTGTCTGTCACTCAGACACATCCACGATGCGCTACGTGACCGCGTAACCTTGGGCAGGCAGCTTTACTCCCTGGACGAGGCCCTTGTCTTCAAACCCAAGGGGTTTTCTCTGGATGTCCTCCAAGCTCTCTTTTAACCTTAGTATTCTGGGGTTTTATGTTCCCATTTGTTTGATTTAGACTTCAGTTTTTCTGGAGTTAAGACATTTATCAGTGGCTGCATAGTTAATTTTCAAACACAAATAAGTATGTCTGCCATTGATCAAGCAGCTGTTTCATGAAAGGGGGTTATTTCCTTGGCTGTTACGTGTGGAAGATTGATCGATTGCCTTGTGGCTTTAGAGCATTGGATACACAGCTGACGATGTTTGTCCAACTCTGAAAGCTCTGAGAACTGTGATGGAAATGCCCGTACTGCACTGGGTCTACATATCTTGTGTTTTACTACCCACAGAATGAATAATGGTCCTGTTTTAGGACATGAAGAGGAAGTTGGGAGACGGACTACCTTCCGACTTTTTTATCCAGAATCTGTTTTTTCAGATCCCAGTCACAATGATCCTAATACTACGGCGATTCTCACTGCTTTTAAGCCGCTTGATTTAAAATGGCTGTGGGAATTGTTGACAGGTGGCAAAATAGTAAGTTGGCAAAATTGATCTGCCTTCCAATTACCTTCAGGTTTTTTTTCCCCATTAAAAAAAGACAACCCCAAGTTCTATTTTCTTTATTCTTTATTTCAGAACACTAATGGTTTTTGGAAGAAACCAGCCTTAAACCTGATCTATAAACCTTATCAAATCAGAATATTAGATCCTTTCATTATCAGAACAGCAGCTTATGAATGGCTTCATTTCCCGAAAGTGTTTCCCAAAGATCAGGTATGTATCTTCCTTTGCACAGTTTCAAACTAAAGATCTGGCTGGGGTGGGTTAGAGGGTCCCTGGGCTCTCAGACACTATGAGAACCACAACTCATGAGATGGCTTCTGAGGGCCATGTCCGAGTTAATGAAATTAGATTATCTGTGGATTTTATCTTTGTTTTTCACATTGCAAGGAAAAGCACCTTAAGGGGGGTTTTCCTGCCTTTCCCGGGCCCTTCTGGGGTCTCCTCCTGCAGGTCCAAATGGCTCACCTCTCATGGCCGCCTCAGTGCTCTGTAGAGAGGAGAGTCTTGACTGGGCAGCTGATCGGCAGGCTGGGTGCAGAGAGGGAGGACCGGCTTCTTTAATTCCTTAATTAAAAGCAGTCTCCATGACTCTGACCGTTGCAGCCCTGTTTGTCTACATTCCCTAGGAAAACAGACTCACACAGTTGCAGGCTATGTTTTTTCATTTGACACTTGAGTAACTATTTAACATGATATCTAGGCTGCAGGGAAGTTTCTCCCCTTTTATAATCAGGGAGAATCTAAAGAAATAAACACACTTTTTGTGTCTTTTATTTAGCATGATAAAAAATTCTAAAACATTATGTGCTTAAAATCAAATTAAAACATTAAAAAAAGGAAATCATCCTTTTCTCTCCCTCTACAACTCACACTATTTCCCAAGCCGTGTTCCCGTCTATATCCTTCTAGACTACTTTCTGCACACTCGCAAACAGGTATTTTTGTTTGTTAAGTATAATTGTGATTATGCCATAATACTGTTCTGCTAGTTCCCCCCTCCATTTATTTAACGAGTCCCGTATTTATGTTTATAGACCTCTCATCTGGTATCTGGCTATTTTCCTCTGTAAGTAATGTAGAAATGCACATGCTTATAGGGATTTCCAGCACACTTCTGTGATTTCTGTGGGAAAGATGCCTGGAAGTGGAATTCCCAAATCAAAAAGCATAAATATTTTAAATTTAAACCCCATTTCTTAGCAACTCTGAAGGGAAAGGAGAGCTCCTTGGTCATTTTTCACTGAGAAATGACAGGTCTGTGATTTCTCAGCTCTCAGTGAAGTAAGATCAGATTTATTCCTTGCTTTTTGTTTTAGGTAGTGTCTTTAACAACAAAAGCACAGGAAGACCCTGATCGTACTTGGAGGTGATGCTAGGACTAGTTGTAACTAGATGGAAGTTTGAGTAGGAAACAGTGTCTCAGAAGCCAAGTGAGAACACAGCTGTATTTCAGAGAGGTCAGGTATGTCAGATGCTGCCCTAGAAGCTTGGAGGTCATATTGACGTGGACTTAGGATAAGAGCAAGAAAGTCTTCTTGAATTGGGTTAAAGAGAACATGGGACATGAGCAAGTAGCGGTAAATCTTTAATGGGGTTTTGCTAGAAAAGGCAGCAGAGAAACGGTTGGAAGACATAGGCTCCAGGAAGGTTGTTTTTGGTTGTTTTTCTAAAGATAGATATGTTTATGTGCTGAAGGGAATGATTCAATAAAGGGAAATGCTGATGATATGGGGAGAAAGGGGATCACTGTAGAAGCAAAGTTGTTCAGAAAAGAGATGGACTCAAATAGAGTGCACTAGTGGAGAGGCTGGCCGTCGGTGGGACAGGGGCATCTCATCCTCATACAAGTGAGCACTGAAAATATGGGTAAAGATGAGGGTAGACTTGGAATTGGCAAGATGATGTAGCTCTTGTCTGATTGCTTCTGTTTTCCTAGAAAAATCAAGGTTAAACCATCAGTTTAAAGTAGGAGGACGGCTAAGGCTGTTGGACAGAATGGGAGGAAACTGTCATCTTGGAGAGTAGGAATAGAGGTTAACTAAGGGAGTGTAACTGGGTTGCTGGACATCCTGAATTGCCCACTGGAGGCTTTGGTCACAAATGTAACATGTGACCGGGAAGTATGTTGTTTTCTCTTGCTACTGCTTGGGTGTGGGTCTAACCAGCTGTAAGATTCTGTCAGGTGATAAGGCAGGTTCTGTGGCTGATGGGGACTGAAGGAAACTGCAGATCTACGAAAGGGAATGACTATGATGATGGAGGAGGTACTCTAAGGTGTGAAGAAAGGAAGGAGAGGACTTGAACAGGGATGGGAGAGAGAAAACGTGATGGGGTCACTGAGGTTGCACGGCTCCTAGGGTTTGAACCCAACCATTAACTTCTTTTCTGGCAGATGGCAAAGGGTGTGGTGTAGTGGAGTCACAGCATTGTGTGGGGTTATAAAAAGCTTATGCAGAAGGCTGAGGCTTTCAAACACGCCTGCTTCCTGGAGCTTACTTGATTTTGTGTTTCTTTGATTTTTTTTTTCTCTTCCTCACAGTCATGATTAATCATATGTAATTTCCATTGGATCTGTAAGAAATATTTAATCCAAAGAAAATCTTGAATTTTTGTGTTAACACGTTTAAGATCTATTTTGGTTTGGCCTTTAAAAGCCATTCTTTGAGGATTAAAACTTGGAATGCTAATACCCTTCTGTCAGACCTCTATTGTAGTATTTTTCAGGATATGTGTCCATGTGAAGGGCATGCCTGGTTTCTTTTTAGTTTTTTTTTTTTCATTTAAAAATCAAGATTGTGACTTTACTATGTATATACACCTGGAATCTTTATTTTCTAGTCAGATACTTAACATGACAATTTGTCATTGTAGTTGCTTGATTAAAGCAGTCCTTCCCCGGAGCTAATTAATTATCAGCATTATAGAAGAGAACTATTTTAAGGCTAATAGACATGAAGCCTTTTACCTTGAGTCTATCCATTAGCGAATTAAGTTGTCTTTACGGTTCATACATGGATTCAGCATTCTCAGACTTTGCTTTTTCCACAAAGAGCTTGACTCGGTATATTTTTTAAAACCAAGGCAGCAGCATCCTGTTCTTTCAGCCTCACCGTATACCTTCATTCAATAGTTGTCTCCTCCGCTAACACTCCAGTTAAGTTTTATTTGAAAGATTTCCTAAGGTTTCAACCCACATTTTATATTCAGAGTTGGGGTTTGAGCCTTAGGGCATGATGTGGGTTTAAGTATTTCTGTTCTGATTTAATGTTCAGAAGTCCTTGTTTTTTGGGATGAGGGCACCCAAATATGCTTTGAAAACAAGTATCTTGTTTGAATTTAATTTTCATTTCCTCCCCAGAGACCCAAACACCCAACGACAGGCATTATTGCCATTACGTTGGCATTTCACATATGTCATGAAGTTCACCTTGCTGGTTTCAAGTACAACTTTTCTGACCTCAACAGTCCTCTGCACTACTATGGGAATGCCACCATGTCTTTGATGAATAAGGTAATATATATACACTCTGGTATAATCTTTGGAGTTGGGAAACTTACATTCTCCTGCCTCACCGTGTCATTTTACTGAGGGAGCAGGTTTTGAGAGGTTGATGGCTTGGTAGGGGTGTACACAGCTATCAAGTGCTGAAATCTGGACTCAAGTCCAGAATTCTTTTACTACAGCAGTAGCTCCCAGTCTGCTGGCCTCAGTTGCTTGGGAGAATCTCATCAAACCTACACAGGGGCCGCGCTTTATCTTATATATGCTACCGTATTTGCACTATTTGAATATATAGAAACCTGCTGTTTGAAGTAAGACATATTCACTTAAAAAGCACTGCCATGCTCATATTAATTATTTTCATGTTAATTATTTTCATGCAGTTTTTCACTTAAGTAAATGAGAAGGTCTATAACATTTTAACCCCATGAAAGAATCCTCATGGTCAGAAGAGTTAGTTATGAACATTTACACTGTATCATTCTTCTCTTGAATAGGGATTAATGGTGGTACAGTTGATCCGTAAGACTCTTATTTTAATTGATTCGATGGGAAGGGATTTCCTATTTATAACTGAGATTGGTGGCACATCACAAGGAACAGGATTTTAATATTGAACTATGATGATTGCCAAGTATATGAATGTACTTATGAAACAAAACCAGTCCCCTTAAATCATCATCTCCAAATACTACATAAGATGAATAAGTGGTATTAGGTTTAGAGCTTAACACTGTCAATTCTGGTTTCTAGATTTATACTATAAATCAGCAGACCAGAAGATGATATGTGAGGGAGCCTCTTAATGTGGTTTAAGTGGAAAGAGTGGGCTTTAGGGAAAAGCCCACTGGCACAAGAATGAGCAAGTTAAAAATCAGAAAGGCAACAGAAAGTTACAAGTCCATGCCACTTGAGTTCTTCATTCAGCTTTTTAGAGGCCGCATATTCCATCGCTACTGCTGTAGTACCCTAAGATGGGGCTGGATGGCGATTTGACTGTATTTTTCTCCTTTAGAATGCGTATCACAACCTGACTGCAGAGCAGCTCTTCTTGAAGGACATTATAGAAAAGAACTTTGTAATCAACCTGACTCAAGATTGACCCTACAGACTCAGATGATGCTAACAGTATTAGTTTTATTTTTCTACTGCAATTTTTAGTTTATTTTTAAATATGTTGGATGTACTTGTCAAGAAATTATGTATATTAAATCTGTTGCTGCCTGGTGATTCATAACCACCAGCTTAATTTCTGTGAATATATTTAATTTATGAAAACCAAGACATGTTTAGTTATCAGGGAATTAAGTGTTCATTGCAGTGTGTTTTAAAAATAAGCTAGTTTCTGAGGTGTTTTTAAACATTTTTTTTCCATAGTTACTTCATCTTAGACTTTTGAAGGGATGTGACTTCCTAACGAATAGGGGATTTAGATTCAAAAACAAATTTTGAATAGAACATGACATTTGAGAGGTACATCTGGTTCCTATAAATTCGTGGGGAACTGGCCGGTGGCAGTTCTTGATGTGGCAAATTGGAACCACTTCAGGCCTTTACCTGGATGATTGTTTAGTTTCTTTTTGTTCTACCTGAGGAATTCTAAACCAGACTTGGAGCAGGGATGGTTTGGGAAATCTAAGATCATACTGGCTTAATTAAGCATTTTTTCCCTACAATTAAGTAAACTATGATTATGAGGAGTTCTTTAGTAGAATGAAGATGCCTTTTGTTTTTAAGTCAAAAGAGACTGGATAAGTAAGTAACCAAAGAATGCAATTACTTAAAAGTTTGGTGACTGCATTATTTTAGAAAAATAAAGTTTATACAAAGCAGCTCAGCTTGGTAATAAGCTCAAGGAGAAAATTCTTACCTTTTTTTGCCTGGCTTAATTTATTCATTACATTTTGAAAGTTACTATTTGAAATATATTAGGGAATACAAAGAAGACATGAATGAGTAAACCTTTAAGAAGAGTCAAGGTGCTTCTGGATTCAAATGGTACATTCATGAAAAATAGATTATCCCCATGATTAAATTGCAACTTCAAAGGGAAAGCTTACCTAGAGGGCACCAGAGAAGCCTCTTGGGGGATGCAAATGGGCCTTCTGACAAAAGTGGTGAGCTGGTCTCTCTCTTCATTTTAATGAACATAACCAAAGGCTGTATGGGGTGGGAGGTGGGGTGAGGAGAACAAAAGTTATAAGGAGGACAGAATCAAGAGCTGTTTGAAGAGGAATGAGTGGAAACAATGAATTGGTAGCAACGAAGATGCCTTTCTAAAGAGTGTATAAAGGGTGAAATTTTAGGTCATCAGAAACAGGAGTAAGTGACATACTTGAAAGTTGTATAAGGGGGAGAAAACTGGCAGTTGATTTAACCCAGACATTAAATATGAACTCTGTTAATACCAGCATCTGTTTGCACAGTACCAGTCTCACTTGCTTCTTCTGGTAACTTAGAGGTGGAAAAGGCGCAGGTGTTCAGTCATCTCCCCATCACGCCGCATAGCCGTAGGCCGCAGCTTGGCTGCTGAAGTTGAGTCTGATGTAAAGTAATTCGGGCTTCAAAAAGGATGGTGCTGGCTACAGAAAGATTCCAAGTCAAAAACCAGTGGTGGCATTTTCAAATGTTACTGTAAGTATTATAATATTGGCGTTAAAATTGAGCATTTTGTACACTATGAGTAAAGGCTAGACCTCAAGGTAGTTTTATCAAAGCAAAAAAAAAAAAAAAAAAAGACCTGAGCAAGACACATATATACAATTTATTAAAAACACATGAACACATTAAAATCTCACTATTTATACAATCTAAATTCTAGCAACATATACAAATACTGGGTGACTACAGTACACGCCGAGGTAAGAAAAGTACATTCTGGGAGACACCACTGACACGCAAGCCGTTTTAATTTCTAATATGTTTTTCTACCTTTCCCAGTGCCAAAAAAACAAAACAAACAAAAAAAAACACAGGAGGAGATGAGAAGGAACTAGTCACAAGTTGGATTAAATGAGGATAGGTGCCACACTGACCTAAAAAATATTTTAATCATCCAACTCTTAGATTTTGCAGTGTAGGGACTTCAAGTTCAGAACTGAAAGGCAGAGCTAATAGGTAATTTTTTAAAGCAGAGCTTCACTGATTTCTCTTATGAGGGGGTTGAAAATCTTTTACTGTCCCACCTCATCTATTCATACCATCTGACATGGTTTCTCTGTAACCCTCTTGCTCTCCAGGTGACAATGTGGAGCTGAGGGAAAGAAGTTCAAGCTTTATCACATTCCATAGAATTATGGCCACATTCATATTTAAACGAGCTCATTTTCTGCTCCCTCCTGTGGGTGGTGGGGGAGAGGGGCAAGAGTATATGGAACATCGTAATTTCAATTACTGTATAAATCCTCTACTTGAACCATTTCATCAGCAAATAAACCCATTGTTCAATGCAAAGTGCAAACAGTGAAACATGAAATTAAATAACTGGACTAGACTCTGCACACACAATAGGATCTATTTAGATTTACAGCTTTTAATAAAATATAAATCAGCATTCACTATATCTTTAACTGTGCTGGTTCCTAAGATCAAGTAACAGCGAAGTTGTGATTTTATGAAAGGGCACATCTGCTGCACCACTGTCTTAAAATTTGCATTAACAGGAAAAAAAAATTTAATCCAATAAGCCACAGTGACTTAAGTCTTTTATATGTTTCAATAAAAATTCAAGGGAATTTTGTAAAAAAAAAAAAAAGTTATTTTCACATTTTCAGTTGTTACTTGATTGTCTCCAAAACTGTATATATATATATATGTATTAACCTTAAAAGAAAAAAACCCAAAAGTCTAATATGAAAACAAATGAAAAGAAAAAGTACAAAACCTCAACAACCCTTTGTATCAGGCTCAGCTCTTCATTTAGAAAGTAAAATATGTAGTAATAGTAAAAACTAGGTATTTTATAAAAAATCATTGGTAAGTTCAAGGACAGCACAGTGGCAATATATGAATCAAGTCTTAAAACATGCATTATTTGAGAAAACATTTGCTTTTCAAAAAAAAAGTTCCATGGGAGAACAACCAGGTGCACACAATTACACAAAATAGCATCTTTGGAAAAAATGAAATAGTTACTGAAATTACTTTTCTTAAAGCTTCAAACAGGCATATGATTTGTGAAAAAGTGTATTTATTTTCTGTGTGCTAAGGATGAATTAAAAAAATAAAGCAATTGGTTTACTCTCTTCCCACCTGAAAGGGGATGACTGCATTAATACATGTGCTTTACACATTCATATCTGTTCTAATAAAAATTCAGCATCATCACAGATGCTGAATTTTGTTTCAAATATTTTGAAACAAAAATGTATATTGGTCTTTCAGTGAACAAAAATTATGCCTCAAAGTTTGCTGGAAGAAGAAGAGCAAATGAAAATAACATAATCATACAACAAAAAGGCAAGGAAATCAACAGTTCTGGTTTGAAGCAATGATTTACATACGATACTGATACATACATTCATGGAAACGAGCACAACAAACACTGTTCATCTTTAGTCAAATTTAGCGAATTCTGGCAGCAGCATCTCGTGGCACAGGCTGAGACCATGACTAGAACCTGATGGGGAGTATTAAGTCTACAAACTAAGGTTTACAGATGAGGAGATATCAAACTTATATATTTTAATCATACGGTCAGCTTCTCATATCATCTTGCCAGTCTAAAGACTTTTAAAGATGATTTTTACACTACAGGCTAATAAATTGCAGACAGTTTCTATTTCAGCCATCTAAAACTAGTTCTGGGAAAGTACTGACAAAGAATTTGTCCAGAGGCATCAAAAACCCAAGAAGGAATTATCCCTTGCTAGGATGCTGTAACATCTGTTCCCTAGGTGTGATATAAAGGACCACTCACACCTTTCCCACACAGATGGCAGAATCACGCCATGCTGAAGAATACATGTTGCATTTGTATTATGTTGGGTCTATAATCATTTACTGTGGAAAATATTTCTTTATTTGACTAAAAACCTTGAGATTCAAAGAAAACTCTGCATATATAAAAACAAAACGTAAATTCTGGTTACTTACTGTTTTTGGAAGGTAGTTTATATGACTTCTGAGGAACGATTTTGCCTTTCATGTGATAAAATATAAGTGGGTCTTGCTTAGTATTGACTTAGAAGCCTCAACTTTTCACAACTCCAAGAAAAATTCCATTGCAAAAAAATTCGGTGGGCAGAGAATCTCCTTCATACCTTTTTTAAAATTGTGAAGTTGTTCCTGTTTCCACGTGGTGACATTAGAAGATCTGAATTGAGGAGGCTAATAAGCAAGCTTCAACCACTGAAAATACTCAAGCATCTAGAAACATTAAGAACGGGGCTGGCCACTGAGGGCCCTGGTGGAAGAAGTAGGGTAAGACCAGGTCACGTACCATGAAGTGTTAAAGCTCTTACGAGTGTCAAAAAATGAAAGATCAGTCACACTGCGCATTACAAGTCAGTGTCCCAGCTACAGATCTTCCTCAGGAAAGATGGGTAAGTGTATACGATTGTGATGGAAACCGTGATTATAATCACTGATTATTACAAAGAAATCCAGAAAGCAATAATGGGAGAGGAGGAGATCATGACAGTACCCACCTTTCACAGAGAGAGCAGAATTTCAAGCCATTAGACATTTTAAGAACAGTACCATGCGTTATTGCCAGTCAGGCTTACAGAGCCATCTCTCGAGTTCATCAATGTACCTGCAGCATTGGTAATAAATACTCTCAGTGATTTTTAATTTCTTTGAAGTGCATAGTAGGGAGCTTTTTCTGTATTAAAATAGTGTTTTACAGTAGTAACAAACAAGATATTTGAAGTTTAATAGGCAAGCAATTAACTGTGCCACAATAACACTTCCAAAGCGAGACGGCAAGATTAGTAGTTTCCTGTACCTCGGTCACCACATCCCCCAACCACATCCGTGACAGATATGTAATACATTCTATATAGCACTACCACGAATACAATTTTAAAAAAGGCCATGTGCTTTAAAACGATGCATGGTGAAAAGCAGCATCACCTTCAAAGAATTTCTTTAAAAACGTCACATTCACCATCCCTCCCCGCTCCAGGTACCTCCTGCGTGCTCTGCGGCACCTGGTACACCAGTTCGTCTGGGGCACTCGGACCCAGCTTCCCACCTTTTGGGGTATCATACTGGGCCTGGGCTGAGGAGCAGCTGTCAGTCCTGGAGAGAAGAGTGTTGTATGTCCCCACTAAAGGGGGAGGCTGGTTCCCTGCAGCTTTGAAAGTGGACGTTGAGGGCAGAGCAACTGAGGCTGCTGGGTGCCCGGACATGTCCACGACGATGGGGGTGGCGTACTCGGGCCCAGTGACTGGAAGCGGCTCAGCATAGGCATGGTACACTTCCTGTGCCGGGGAGCTGTACGGGTCCAGGTCGGCATAGCCTGCTTCTTTTCCTTCTTCTGGCTTAAAGGTAGATCTCTGATGAAGTGTGCCAGCAACTCCTCCCACAAGGGGCTGTGCGTACTCTGTGGACATCGCAAAACAGAGACAATAGAAAAGTTCTCTCATTAATGCAGGGGCCATGCAATTTCAGGTGGCAGCTGCAGGCTCACACCAAAAGCAAACACATCTTTATGGCACTTTTGTTATCAACAGAGATCTGTGGATTTTCCTGCAAGGACCAACTTCAAAAATTAAGATGAAAGATGTTATCTTGTATCTCATCATACTAAGTTGATGTGCCAGAAAGCTTCATTCATGTAATTCTGCATAAAAAGCATCTATGTATGTGCTTCAGGTTGATAGATAATATTTCATTAGAAAATATTCCATTACTGGAATAATACTAGTTTCAGAAAATAAGTTCATAAGATTTTCTTCCTTTTCAAGTATTAGCACCTGCTTAAAATAAGCACAGACTAGGTTAATAGGATAAATACCGTAAGGCTCACTGTGTATTTCCTGCTCTCCTTTTAATGTCCTCAAACACTCAATAAAACCAAACTAAATTCCAGGGAAACAGGCAAAATGCCTGTAGTTTTTAAAAATGACGGCCTCAATTTTATGGATAGAACATCTAAGACAGAAATGACTCTCTCAACGTCTTTTTAGAAGTGGTTCTCCCTTTGGAAACTAGCTCACCTCTTATGCATGAAACAGATAAAAAGGTATCGTAAATCCCAAAGCCGTTTAGAGCAAGCCCAGCAGTGTCCTCCTGGGCCCCCGGTTACCTGCAGAGTCAGTCTGCAGCACCATGGTGACCTCTCTCGGACTCAGATGATTGACTTCGCTGCTGCTATAGCGAACTGGGGTTTCCTCATGTTCCACTGACTTGGCAGGGAGGAACTGCTTCATTCCTTTCCACCAGCCTTCATTGCGATCACAAGCAAAAGAGACTATTAAATAAAAAGCTCTGAAATGATTAACAGTGTATTAAGGGAGAAATCCTGTTGCATTTAAGGCATTTCTGTAGCAAGTATCTATATAAACTAGCCTTTACGTTGAAGCTTTTTAAAATCGTCGTAAAATACACGTAACAAAATTTCCCACCATAACCATTTTTAAGTAAACAATTCAGTGATATTAAGTACATTTACATTGTTTACAACCGTCACCACCATCCATCTCTGTAACTCTTTTCATCCTGGAAAAGGAAACTCCACACCTATTAAACAGTAACTCCTGATTCTCTCCTCCAGCCCCTGGCAACTATGTTCTACTTTTTGTCTTTATAATTCTGACTACTCTAAGTACCTTGTATGAATGTACTCCTACAGTATCTGTCTTTTTGTGACTGGCTTATTTCACATAGCATAATGTCCTCAAGGTTCACCCACACTGTAATATACGGCAGAATGTCCTTCCTTTTTAAGGCCTAATAATATTCCATTTTATGTACATACCACATCTTGCTTATCCATTTATTAGTTGGATACTTGGATTGCTTTCACATTTTAACTATTGTGAATAACACTGCTATGAACTTGGGTGTACAAATATCTCTTCAAGATTCTGCTTTCAATCCTTTCGGGGATACACCTAGAAGTGGAATTGCTGGATCATATGGTAATTCTATTTTTAAATTTTTGAGGAACTGCCAAAAAATTCTGTTTTCCACAGAAGCTATGCCATTTTACATTCCCACCAATAATGCACAAGGGTTCCAATTTCTCTACATCCTTGCCAAAACTGGTTTTGCTTTTTTATCCTCTACTGTGTTTCTCTGTTCTCTAATCTTTATTATTTCCTTTTTTCCTGTAGCTCTGGGTTTAGTCTGTTCTTTTTCTAGTTCCTTAAGTTGTTCAAGCTTATTTTTTGCTTTGATAGAACATCCAGTGCACAGCAGAACATGGTAGAAATCTCTATCAAAAGCATATACTGAAGCAAATCACTGCTGTTACATAGTGCAGCCAAATACAGTTTGTTGGAGCAGTGATTTTTAGTAAGTTTTTTTCAGAAACTTCTAAGACCAACCCCTAGGGGTAGCAGCATGTGCCCCACCCCCACCACTGCTTTTTCACATTCACAGTGAACTCTTTTGGCTCCTAATGGTCATTCCAGGAGTGAGACTGAGACGTGGGGGACCCGTAGAGGGCCCTGGTGTCACCTGCCACAATCTGCCACCCACCACACTGAGGAGGAATTCAGAAGATGACAGCTCCTCACAGCACTGTGGTAAACGCCCACAGCGCAGTGACACAGTGTGTCACCGGGACCGCAATCCTCTGCTTCT